TTCCGCAGAACTGATCGGGTTCTGATGAGAACAGTGTAAGCGTTCAAGCAAACCACTTCTGAAGATGCAAGCCACTCGTGCTTGCGAAACGCCAGGACGGTCTAAAAACCCGAAAAATCCATTATTTTCAAGTAATGGTCTGTCTCAAAAGTGTATCTTTTGCTAGTCTTAAGATTGCCATTTGTTTCATTGGTCAATCAATACACGTATTTAATTGAGGAATTAGTCCAAGGTGTCTAGGAATCAAACCAATGTTGCGCTTAAATATATATTTGTATATATAGATGTCTTTAAAAATACTCATACAATAAATATATATCGTAAACACCAGCCCCTTAAAAAGCCCTAAAAATAAAATCAGATTGACAAAATAAAAAAAAACACAAATTATATTTTATAGCGTAAATATGGCTCACTATGAAAAATATAACAAAAATAAAAATATCTATAATATAAAGTAAAAATAAATACTTTTGCCCAACCGATGATAGATTCTAGTAGAATGTAAAGTTGAAAGATTTTTAGATACAAGCGTGAATAATTATGAAGCAAAACTGAAACGGGTCTAGAATAAAATTAATTAATTAGTGGGAAATTGAGCTGCATAAAACTATTACTTAAATAGGAAAAGCAGTTTCGTCGTATTTTTCAATATGCCTTGTTTATTGCCGCTATTTTACAATCAACAATGTCTAACATAAAAAGCCTTTAAAAAAAATTCCAGGTAATCCTCGGATGAACCCGTTGCATATTAAGGAAGCACCAAAAACGCAAAAACTAAGTCCTGATACTCGTTAAAATTTACATCAACCTCTAACTAGCGGGCACCAACTTAAATCTAGAAAAGTCTTGAGATCCTTGATTAAAATTACCGTTAAAAATCCGTGGAATTTAGTCGATAGCACGAGAATTTGTTGAAAACTTATCCAATCGCGACCGGCATCAAGCGACGTGGTTGTTTACTTCGACGCTAGAAACATTATTAATCTGCAAAAAAAATCGTTAGAAACTCACAAAACTGGATGATGGACTTGGACATTTTATTTTTCGAACGGAATAATGAAAATTTAAATTTCAGCAGTTGCATCTTGAAAACAAAGTGCTAGCGCTTACATGTTTTTTGACAAATAAAAGGGAAAGTTGCTGTTCAACAACTTGCCTGAAATTTATCGTTTTTGCAGCTAACAATCTATTGCATTCAGCGCTGTCGGGCAAGGGCAGGCAAACGTAGGGGCTCTCATTGCTCTGCTCGGTGAAATCGAACTCGTAAATCCTGGGTTTCACCTTAATGTCCCCAACTGGGCCTCTCAAGACGATGTAGTTCAAGCTCAAAGGAGTGGCGGACTTCGACTTGAGGATCAGCTAACAGGAAAAAATTGCCCATGCCTGTGCCAACTGGAGGCCGCTGGAAACTCACCTGGTAAGTCATATCGCGCTCTGAGCTTTGAGTGGGATCCTTTTGCGAATTATTAATCCGCGCCTTGACCACCCACTGGTTGTTGAACGCAGAGAATCGCGACGATTCGTAGAAGAGTCTGTGCAGAAACTCATCGGTGCGATACGGTTTGAGCTGGATCTCTGAAACGACCCCAATGCAGATTGAGTCGAGTGGAAGGAGGCAAACGTACCGTTGAAGGTGATCTTCTCATATCCGAGCAAGTCGAAAATGTTTTCGTACAGTTTCTTCTCCTCCACTAGGGCCTGGTCCATGGCCAGAAGAGACTCCATCACCTCAGCCCCAGAGCGATGCGGGTGGGCGCACTGATTTTCGTGCTCTTGCCGCTCATGTTCGGGGCCCCTCCATGGGCATCCAATGCGGTTGTATTTGCACCACGAGATTCTAACGAGAAAAACCTCCATCAGGCGCCCGAACAGTGAATCGCCCAGCTGATCGCTTACCTTTCTTCGCACTCCTGCTCCTCATGTCGCTCCAAAGAGTTCCTGGGATATTGCTTACCGCAAAATTGGCAATCGCTGGGCAATTCGCTGACCGCATTTTCCACTGCCAAGTTGCGGGTGGCCGCTGTTTTGGATATTTCAACACGGCAACTTGGGCAAGTGGCCAATTCATCTCGCAGCCTAGCGTCGGCCAAAACGTGCGTAAAGCACCCAGCACACATCAGGTGCCCGTTGGTACACTAAGCGGTGGGGAAGAGAAAAAAATCCATCAGTTTCAGGTAAGGCCGCAGTTTAGCAAAGTGTAAGCAATAAAAAACCGAACTACTGAAGAAGAGCAACGACGCGTTTAAATAATTTCCAAAGTTTCCCTTTGAGAAACCAAAGAAACCTGAAAAAGAAAAAAGACACATTAAAAACTTATCATCACTTAACATCGAGTCTACTGCACATGGGGATAATTTGGGGGAATTCAACAACTACCTACTTAGTCACGACCAGAACAGAAAACGTCTAAAGAACCTCAACAGAAGACTTTTCTTTTAAATTTAAATCATGAAACTCTATCAATGGCCTGCTGGTAACCTTGGCAAGGAGAATGGTTTGTAATGTTTGATGCCCACTGTGAGCTCATGTGTGTAATAATTCTATAAATATTTACATTTTCAGTTCTAATTTGGCAAAACCACGACTTTGCGATAGTTCAGCGACGGATCGAAATTTAAGTCGCTCACTAACTTACGATAGTTGAGGTTTGTATCAAAACTGACTTACCACTCCTCATAAATGCCCTGAAATAATATAAAGCTGAACAGAAATTAAAACGATACAAAGTGAGGGCACATTCCATATACTTACTTATGGAACGGTTTACCTTTCGCAAAAACCTACTCGCTGTCCACTTAACATGAACAATGACCAATCGACCAGTAAAAACCTACCTTTCTCCACTTACTAAGTAAGCGAGTTTTTTAGTAATACTTGTCCAAACCGATGGAGAAACTCAACAGGGAAGGGATAGGGATGACAACTACGTCTATAGTGAATAATAACCACTACTAAAGTAAATTGAAAAACGTTTATTAAAATTAAATTATCGACTAGTTCAACAGCAATGGTAGATATCTACTGTTTGGCAGCTTTGCCACAAACATATCTTATGTTAGGCGGTTGTTCGCAATTCTATTTAACTACATTAGTATGATACGTGATTAAATTATACAACAGTCTTTTTGGGGGTGTTTCAACTGTAGCCAATGGAAAAGGGCGGCCATAAAATGTATCCAATAAGGTGGAGAAACAACCGATATGCTCCATACGAATATGGAATAGAAATCGTACTTTGCACGGTTGATTGAGAATTTAGATCGCAAATTGGATGGGAATTTTCATGGTTCAGATAGTTATAAAAACAGTTTAAGGGACTGATGAGCTTTTCGGACTTTTAGCCGCGCTGGGGCGCAAAAAACCAGATAAACGAACGTTTACACTTGACTAGATGAGTGGGACAAGGCAAAGCCAATTAGTCCTGTATCAGACAGAGAGCACTCTAGTGTCTGCCTCTTCCTTTAATACAGTCGATCACCGACCTGCTTTGTTCCACGCATTGAGTTGCTGATGAAGGCGAGATTACGAAAACGAGCAAACTATGCAGATTGTTGAAATTCATGTCGTTTGTTTTCGAACCCAAATGGATCATTTGGCCAGCTGCCCTCCTGCAGACCTTCATGGTCGCGTTAACAAAATGCAGTTTATTTGTAGATCTACCATGGGATTAAATAAATGCGCAGCGTGTTTAACATTATAGCCGAGACGTTGCTTCGCCACAATGACACGCATGGTTGGATCCATATGAATATTAAACTAAGGCGGTGTGGAATGCTGATGAATGGTTGGTGTTTTATAGTTAAAAAAAACTTTAAATAATTCACCTGACGGTGTTTCTAATGCATACAAAATTTGGTGGAATTTTACATTTTTTGCGGAAATTTATGGAAAGGAAAGCTTCCAGTTAGAATGGTTGGTTTCGGTGTTGGTTGCAAAAGGGTTTTGTTCGCTAGAATTTTTGGGGGGCGTAGATGCAAGCCACTCGTGCTTGCGAAACGTCAAGATGCAATTATTATCCACAGCTTCAGCCGCTGTTTAAGATTTATCGGGCATTTAATGATTGTTCGAGCGAAGTGCAAAAGTTCAGATTTGCTGCGCAAAAGAGGTCGCATCTACTCCCAAAAACGCGCTAGCGAACAAAAGATCCAATGAACTGTTGAGGGTGAATAGAGTGAGGGCTGAACTAGATCGAGTTGGGGGCATTCACGAGAACACCCTGCACGTGAGCGCGTCACATTTTTCGCTGCAGGAAAAAATCAATACAACGTCCTGCTGGTGGCGCCCAGGCGCTGCCCAGCAGGAACAAAGGAAAACAGCCATACCCGAACAGATATGAATTACGTAATAGAAAAAGGGAAAATCAAATCACAACCCGAATGTTTCGCCCCATTGGTTGACTTACCTGGTAAACTGCGGCCCTGGGCAGATCCAGACAAACTGCGCAGCAGAGAATTCCGCCCAATCGATCTTCAAGTTTGTGTTTCTTTTCGTCGTTGGGTTTGCAGACTTTTCGCTTTTTTGTTTCGGGTTCGCTGAATTCTTCGCGTTTTTCTTGGGCGTCTGGAACCTCGATGGGTTGCTCGGTGCTCGAGCTCGCAGCCTCTGGTTCCGACATGATTTTCGTGAGGAAACTCGTGGAAATTGAGTTTCACAACACTGAACAGCTGAGAAATCGGCTCGAAACAGAGCGTGGACCGTCAAGAAACAGCTGACGTGACGTTCTATTGAAGTTGCCATGCGTGGGTCCCCACCCAGTGCGGTTCGTCGGAGTCGACGCTCTTCACAAAATATCCCCCCTGGGGTATGTCTTGTGCAAAGAGAAAGTAAAATAAGTTATTATTTTATTACTTATTTTACTTACTCTATGGTTTTGTGACGCTCTTTGTGTGTCGGATATTTGTAGATGCGATCTTTTTTTGACTGAAAAGTCTTAAAAGTTGACTTTAGACAAATCGATCAAGCGCACCAACTATTCAATATAGGTGAAAAATTCAAAGTTTGTTTGTTTTGTTTTCGTTTGAGGTTGCAATTATATTGGCAAGGGAATTATT